GTGAAAAACAGGGGCAGCTGTGGCTCAGTGGTAACACACTGGACCACGTGGGAGACATCCTGGGTTCACATCCCAGACCTCCCTGAGCTTATGGTGCATACACACATGCCTGTGCCCAGGCCTGCGAGACTGGCGGGGGACGGGTGTGAGCACCCTATTGGGGTTGTTTCTCTCTCTGTGTCTCTCCACTTCTTTTTGTCTCTTAGGGAACAATTTAACTTAAAAAAATAAAGTTAGGAACAAAGGGTGCCGAATTTATGGTCATTATTTATGCATCGTTTCATAGGTAAATCTAGTAAGAAAAGAAACAGAAATAGGATCAGTAACTTTTTGAAAGAGCTAAATTGCCACTGTTGACTTACAGAGAGTATCATTCTAATTCTAGAAAACCCAAGGAACACACTGAAAATGACTGGAATTAATATAGAAAATATTAGGACCAGCAAATGGCATAATGGTTATATCACTGGACTCTTACATAGTCGACTGCAGTTCAAGTCCTCTGAGACCCAGTGGCTTAAAACTCATGCTGGGCTCATGTGTGGGCGAGCCCAAGATCCAGAGAAGAGAATGGAGGAGAAGGGATTGTGGGGTGGCCATCCCCCCTGGGGGGTGATTTCTCACTTTCTGTCTGTCCCTCTAGAATGCATGTATATGCACCCTATAGCAAAAAGAAAAACTCCCTAAATTAAAAAAATACACACACACACACACATATATATGTATATAATATTGAAAGGGTTAAACAAGTGACAGAATATATATAATAATATGTATGAAAATCACTCTTAGGAGTCCTGCTGTAGTGGCCTATTAGCATAAAGAGGCTAATTATGGAAACTTAGATTTTAATCTTAGTGTCTACTCTTTTTCTCAAATAAATTTTAGAGTACCCATTAATATTCAAAGGAAATGTGTTAATTCTTTTATCATCTAGAAATCCAGTCTTAGGAACTTTCATTTAATACTCTTTTTCAAAGAAAAGAATCTTGTTTATAGGGGAGTGAAAAATGGCTTCCCTCCAACCTTCTGGGTTCTTTGGCTGGGCTGCAATTAACTTGACTAAGACAGATTAACAGGAGAAAACCATATTTAATTACTGGATACATAAGGGTGTGCCACAAAATATGAGACTCTTCAGAAAGGTCAGATGACTGAAGCTTACCTATTATAGCACTCTGAGCTACAGAAAGGGAAGGGTACTCAGGTTTCTGAGGGGTGGTGGTGACACATTATGGGGGAGATGATGGGACAAGGAAGTGGACCTGAATAAAGGTTTCTTGCTATGCAAATAAAGTCTCTCACATAATAACAATTATCTCAGAGTGACTGACTGGGCGTGTCAACCTCCTTCTGTTAAATTCCCAGTTAATTTTCCCTGGTTGATAAGATTCCTGGGGAGGACATTTGTGACAGTTGAGTTCCTTTTGGAGGATGTCTTCAAGTAGATAAGGGAAGCTCAGGGGTCTCTACCAGCATGCTCTTTTCCCCAAACAGCCGGATCACAGAAATCAGCCTACCCAAGCAGCGTATCTAGGGTGTCCGGACAATAATTCTGCTATCTTTGGTCTTGTTTTTTTGGTAATTGCTCTTTTGATAACATACTCTTTTTAAATTTCCTCTCTCTCTTCAATAATAAAATCAGCTGTTAAACATGTATGACTGCTCTATGAGGCTAGTATGACTTATGCTAGATTACTTTATAAACGACAAATTATCTTCATTCACATGTATATTCTATTAGTGCATGAACTCATCCACGCACTTACTGTGCATCCACTCTGCAGCAGGGCAGCCATTGAGTAGTCGGGGTAAACCACTGAACAAAAATTAGTCTGTATTCTCTAGGAACTTACATTCTTACGGACAAAGAAAGGCAATAAATAAATATATAATCTGTCATTTAGTTGTAAATTCTAAGGAAAATGAAACAGGGTGAGGAAGATAGACAGGCATGGGGGAATGCTTCTTTAAGTAAGGCAGTGTGCAAGGCCTTAGCTGATAAGGCAATGCTTGAGAGGTTTGAAGGAAGGGAGGGAATGAGTCACTCAGAGAAATATCTGGAGGAAGAATGTGCCAGGCAGAGGAAGCAGATCAGAGTCCCTGTGGTGGGAGTGTATGTGATAGTATGCGAGGAACCTCAGAGAGGCCCTGAAGCTGGAGACAAGTGAAGGCCGTAAGGTCAGGTGATAACAGATGGAGGTCTTCAGTTTGAGATGAAAAAAAAACAAAAAACAAAAAACATTTTTTGATAAATAGACAAGGCAGTATTGCCAAAGTCCCAAATAGAAGACCAACTTAAATAATTCAGTTTATCTGGCCTATCGATCCTCTGGTTTTAGAACACCCGATCTGATTGTAACTGTATTTTGATTCTGTCATTTGCTAGCCATGGTACTGGGACATTTAGCCTGTTTCCTGTCTGAAGTGATGTTTCTAATACCTGTGCTGTCTTCCACCCAGAGCTGCTGGAAGGGCTGATAGACTAAATTGTTATCTTATCTCAAAAACTATAAAATGCTTTTGGGTTCCTATTCCACAGAAGAATGGCGTGGGCTTTAAGGTAGGTTTGAAAGGATCTAACTGGGTATCATGTCGAGTTAGACTTCCCATAGCAATTACCAATAATTTCATCCATGTATCAACTTTTGTGAAAATGAGGAATTCATAGTGAGACTATTTCAGCTGGCTCTGGGGGATAGAGCCAGAATAACCGTGAAATGAAATGTTTGGTAGATGTGCATTAGTGCAGACAATTTAGCGAATATGCAGGTAACCATCCTTCTTCATTATCCTTTCAAGGTGTCATCGTCATCTGAATGTCTCTGTGCCCAAGTCATTGTCAATTAATTGTCATAAATGTCTGTGTGCTCAAATATAAAGAACTTCTAAAAGCTCATAGAAGGGACCGACATGTCCCTGGTTTCCCACGTAGACAACTGGTTCGAGTCCCAGACCCGCTGGCTTACAACTAACACTGGGTGCATGTACATATGTGCCCCAAATCCCAAGAGAACAAAGGAGAAGGGATTGTGGTGTGGTTGTCCCCTTGGGGGGTGCTTTCTCGCTTTCTGTCTGTCTCTCTGGCAAGCACACACACCCTATAGCAAACATCTATCTTTAAAAAAAAATGTTCTTAGAGAATGAAATTAAAATACAAGTGTATTTTGGTACAGTAATTTCTTAAAATTCATACATAGGGTTTGCTTTTCAGAGTAAACATTTTCCATGAACTTATTGAAGGTTCTATGTGTTAAATATGTGTTAAAAAGTGGACCAGAAAATGGAATAAGATGTTAGCCTACTTTTATATTTAATACTGCTTCTTAGGGGACCAGTGGACAGTGTAATGGTTATGTCACTGGACTCCCATGTAGTCAACCAAGTTTGAATCTTGCACCCGGCAACTTAAAACACCAGGTGTGTGTATGTGCATGCCCAAAATCCCAAGAGGAGAATGGAGGAGATGGGATTGCGGTGTTGCCATCAGCCCTGGGGGGTGATTTCTCGCTTTCTGTCTCTTTGTCTCTCTCTGTCCCTCCAGCAAGCACAGGCACCCTATAGCAAAAACACGGAAACAAAAACTGCTTTTTTTAACTTAAATTAGCAAACATTTTCATCCACAGAGGTATTAGAAGTGTAATTTGTTTTAAAAGTCATTTAGTTCAGGGGCCAGTGGGTGGTATGGTGGCTAAAGATGCTGGACTCTCCCACATGGGTGACTGCAGTTCAAGTCCCAGAACTGGTTACTTGCTTTCTCACTTTCTCTCTCTTTCTCTCTTTCTCTGATCAAAACTGGAAAATAATAATAATAATAATAATAAAGCTACATAAAATAATTATTTTTTTAAAAAGTCATTTAGTTCAGTGAGAGGAGGAAAAATGAGTATTTTGTATTTGACAGAAATTTCTTTTACATTAGAACTGAAGATGTGGGCTGGCCCCATAGCACAGGTCATATGCCCATCCCATGTCTGGCCAGGATTCACGTTCCAGTCCTATAAGCTTGTCAGGCCTGGGTGCGTGTGTGCTCAGGACCTCAGCAGGGTGGAGAACTGAAGGAAAAGGGATAGCGGCGTGACCGGCCCTGTCGGGGCGCTCTTGTGTGTGCACATGTGCATCTGCCCTCCGGCATTTTTTTTTTTTAAAGATACATGAATAAAGGACATTTTACTTTATTTTGATGTGTCACAAAAAGAAAAAAATCATATGACAAATACAATTTAGTGAAATGTTTACTGTCAGATTAGAGAAATTTTTTAGACAACACGAAGGTTTAGCAATTTCTTACTGAAATTAGAAATTCATAATTTAAACTTTAAAAAAATGTACCTGGCCCAGCCATGATGACACGTGCTGCTAAAATGCTATTGTGTTGCAGAATGGGACCTCAGGGAGGCCTGGGTTCTGTTCCGGGTCCAACCTAAAGGCTAGACGTGGTGGCAGATGCCCGTCGTCCCCGCAGCTCAGGGAGGCTGAGGCAGGAGGGTCACGGGGAAGGCTGGTCCAGGCAGCGTAGTGAGGCTGAGAAAGAACTGGGTGTGGTGGAATGCACCTGTGGGTCCAGTTGGGAGACTGTGGCAGGAGGGTCATGACATGCTGAGACCCTGTCTTTAAAAAAGAGAGAGAAAATTGACCTAAATGTTGAGCATGATGAAATGGGCACGATTTCAGATAAAACAATGAAGTGTTTTAACATGTTAAATGCTGATGAGGCAGTTCTGTGGCTGTCTTCTTACTTTAATTTATTGTGGTCAATAAGCTTAAGAAACTCCTTGTGATTTTGTACTTCTAAGTAATTCGTAGCGATTATTTAAAACCGAGTAGGGCAAGATAATATTTTGAAGGTGTTTGGTTTTGTTTTTGTGTTGCTGCGTCTTCCCTCAGCACATTGTGAACGTTTTGAAAAGAATGTTTCATCAAAACAATTGAATTTGAATTCTTCTATAAGCCAGTCCCGTAACTGTGCCATCATAGAAAGTGTGCATTTCTCCTTCCAGGTTGGCTTAGCTGATGTTGAGAATGAAGAGAGCCGTTGCCATCTGTTCATGGAACTCCTGGAATCTAGTCACCACAAGGCTGAGTTTCAGCATTTGCTTCTGCTATTGCAAGCGTGGCCACCTATGAAAAGGGAATATGTGTAAGTATTACAATGAAATTAGCCTAGTGAGAGTCCCTCTGTCTGCACTTTAGTTCCCAAAATGTAAGCCCTTCAAAAGAGCCAATGAAAGAATAATTGTGGGTGTATGTATGTAATCCATATTTACCTTTAGAGGAAATGAAAAAAACATTTTTTTTGAACATCACAATGTCTTTCCCTCATTCTGTGTCCCCAAATCCAAATATTATATTCAAAACTATCAGACAAAACTTGATAGTAACTTCTTGTGATGTCAGCAAAACTACTTTGATCTAGTGTTTTCAGC